AGTTGGCTGTTTTTATGAACACCACCACGTCTAATCAAAGTGCATGAAATAAATAACATATCTGCATTTTTAACTTTTGTTTGATGTCCTCAACATTGTAACAAATTACAATGGCATTCACAGTATATTTAGATGATTTACCAGAAAAAGAATGAAATACAAAGAAATGGATGTAAAAGTGAGTTTTTGGTCAATGTAACAGAACATAACATCACAATCAAATTGACGTTTTTGTGAACATTTTATATGTTCTTATCATCGACTAACGTTTATTTTGTAAGAAATAAAACTATAAATAAGTTGAAAAATCGATACCCCATGCATCCAGATTTTGACAATACGCCGACTGAAAAGTTTTTGGTGCAAAAAACACAATTGTTAAATCCTGGTGGTTTTGTCTGTGCTGTAGATGATCAGCTGATTGTCTACCGCGGCAAAGCTTTATTTATTGATCGGACCTATGAGAGTCTGCAAAATGTTCCTGTGCTCCGTGCACAGTTCTTAAAAAAGCACTTCGGTATTGTGCATATTCTAAAAAAAGTATAAAACCAAAAAAATAGTGCAAACTGTAGTAAAAAATAATCAGACAATATCTCTACACCAACATTCCATATCACTATGTGTACCAGAACAGCCGATGGGTATTGCGACAGCGGGGTGATGACAAAGTCATTACAAGATTGTATGCGGTCAATCCAGAGGAAAAGGAGAGATTCTATCTGAGAATGCTCTTGCTCAATGTGAGAGGTGCCACGTCATTCGACGACTTAAGAAGTGCCAACAATGTTGTATATGGCACATTCGAGGAAGCAGCAAGGGCAAGAATCTTCTGTAGGATGACAGTGAATGGAAGAACGTGCTGAGCGAAGCTGCAATGACAGAGACATCTGACCACATCAGAAAGCTGTTCGCATACATCTGTGTGTTCAACGGACCGCAGGATGCACTTGGGCTGTTCAACGAGCATGTTGACGATATGTGCGATGACATCGTTAACGAGATATATGGTGATATTGCCAACATGGCTGACAGCGAAGATCTGACGAACAGAACTATACTCACAACGAACAACGATGCTGCAAAGGAAATCAATGACAGGGTCCTTGACTTGATGATTGGCAACGAAGTAACATACACGAGTGCAGACTCTATTGTCACAGAGGACAACGATGTTGTTGCGAACTATCCGTTAGAGTTCCTCAACAAGCAGCAGCCTTCAGGAATGCCACCGCACAAGTTAGTTCTAAAAAGAGGTGCGTTGATAATGCTATTGCGCAACCTTGATCCAGCCAATAGCCTGCTCAATGGCACACGCCTGGTGGTTGATGAGCTCCACACAAACTTCATCATAGCTACTATTGTAACCGGATCCAGGAAGGGTAGCAGGGCAGTCATACTAAGGGATCGACATGGCACCGAGCGAGACACAGCTGCCATTCATACTCAAGAGAAGACAGTTTCCGGTTCTTCTTTCGTTTGCGATGACAATCCACAAGTTACAGGGCCAGTCATTTGACAAGGTAGGTGTTTATCTGCACAGCTCTGTCTTTGTGCATGGTCAGTTGTATGTAGCTTTGTCGAGAGTGCGCTATGCAAACGGTCTAAGAGTGTATGTTGCTGACAATGGAGACCAAGGAAAGTATGAGAATGGTAAAGTATACACAAGAAATGTTGTGTATGATGAGCTAATGCAATGAATGAAAGTGATTTATTGATTTTGTAACTATACAACAATTAATAGAAAAGAATGACCTGATGTTTTAGTCACATTCAAAAGCGCTATTTTGGTATACTATCCATTCATGCACCCGTTTTTGAAAAACGGGATAGAACAACTAATTTAAATGCATTACTAATTGAATAAAATCTGAAATATATAAAATTTTTATACAGCAACAATATATTTATTCATTAATTTTATCTGTCCTCACACCTGCGTGTATTACATCAAATAAACGGCTTGTCTTCACAACTTTTCAGTTCCTTCACATACCACTCCTTTAGCATTGCTATAAACCCTTCGTCGTCAATTTCTTTTCTATATATGTTATCGAAATAATACTTGGCTAGATCAATGTTTAAATAGCATAACGAATATACAAACACGTCTGTCTCTACTTTATTGTATTTTAAGTGATCAAATATGCCATTAGCGAACAAAATGTTCTGTAATTGATTCATGAGCATGCAAGTTTTACCCAACAGGACGAGTATACTGTCATAGAGCAAATCGTCCAATAATAAATGTATTAGATTTGGATATACTTTTTGCATGTCTGGATCACGAAGCAAATTGCGGTCTGAAAGAATATCTGTCATCCGGGCTATTATTCCTAGTTTCTCGTTCAGGTCATAGCTAGAATCGCTTAGAGTTTTGATACTTTGTATGATATATTCCTTGTTGATATACTTTATGAATGCCAATGAATAGGTCATGTGAAGAAGGGATATGATGATGAATGATAGATCATGTACTGATTCTTATGCTTATAATGGCAGTAACCTTTCATAATATTGCAACGGAGCAAAATGCATACGAGTTAATGATAGTGTAATGTGAGGTTTATTTGTTAAAAACAATAAAGTTGGAATGCCAATTTGGCAATAAACAAATGCTAACAGACCATATTAACACCATAGTTGTAAAAAGATCGTACATAATTTGTTGATCATGTTTATTTTTTCTTGTAAACATCCTCCTTGATACTCTCCACACAACACTCTTCGAATTTTATCTCATCTGTGTGAACAATTAGATATCCGTTAAAAAACACCACATCATTCACGTAGTTGCCTATAACAACGCTATTACAGTATTTCTCGTCCTTTATCATAATCAGTGCATCTCTCAATGCTATTATTAAGCAGTCATCGTTCAATATTATCTTGTGAATGCGTTTCTTCTTAAATTTTGTGATAAAAGTATTACCGTTATAAAGAAATGCACATTTCTTCGCGTTTTTAACAACAAACGTGCCTGCACTAAGGGATAAAGGCACAGATGTTTTATCTTTCGCGAACGTTGATCCGAATTGGTGGTTTATCTGGTTGAATGCTCCATCAATGCCGCAATACCCGCTAGAAGAGGCGTAAACATCGTTATTTGTGCTAGTGGCTTTTTTATCAGTACTCCTAAAGATGGCATCATGTGCTATATGATCATCGACATCGGCAATCTTATCATTAACGTGGCACCGTTCCCATCTATCCTGCTCAATTTGGTCAGTTTTATTACTTTCTGAAGTACTGGGTATAACACAATCAATACCCACG